AAAGAGCAATTAGTTGTCATGTTTCTTTCATCTCTTTTATGAGCTCTCTTGTCTCCCTGTCTTTTTTGTGTTTTCTTATTTTGTGTTTTATGATGTTAACACGTTTTAAAAGTCAAAGACAGTTGTCTGGTAAAATGTGCTATAGTCTAGATTCATCTAACTGTTGGTGTCCTCATAATTAGACTCAAATTAAACATTGCTAGCAAGTGTACATTGCTTCTCTTCAGAAGGTGTATGATATTAGCTAGGTTAAGTTTAATCATTTGGCTAAGTTGGTGTTGACCAGACCTCTCCATTGTAAAGGTGCCTAATCCTCTTGATGACTAAGAAGGCACCTGTGGGGTAATCTTAGAGACCATGTGCATGTTTTTTCCCTGACAGTGATTCACTCAATGGTTTTAGCATCTATTTTTGATCCTTATATGAATCAATTATTAAATTGCTGGTTGAAATATGGTACTAACTTGATTTCTAAAGTCATTTTAATGAAGAAAAATTCTCCTTTCCGTCCCCATGCCCTGCTTGAGGAAAATCTTGGCCCCAAAGATGCATGACAGAAGGATTGATGAAAGTGAAACTTGAAAACAACTATCCAAACACACATTAGCTATGAAGATGTTTGAAGGGTTTTCTTTTCCTTTCTGAGTGGGTATGCAGGAAACCTCTATCCTAGGGTAAGAGCTCTTTCTTTTAGAGATTTGTACTTAAATTAATCTTTACTGATGCAGATGAGGGAAAACTAAATAAATTGCCATTCTGATTTTCTTTTGGACTGAGAGAATTGAGTAGTAATGAGATGAATTTTCTTTCAATGCCACAATCTGAAAAGCTATGGTGTATACCATACCATTTGAAAATGTCTTAGAAGTAGTTCTTTATAAAGCATATTATATTGAAATCAAATGGGCTTTAAAACCATGGAATTCCTTTGAAAGGTGGGATAAAGCAGAAATTGTTTTGTCTTGGTACTTCTTGATCTAGGCTAATAACCCTTTGGGGGAATTTATCCTGAGGCTTTTTACTCATTCTGCTCATGACTGGCTCACTCAGTGAGTGTTATCTGATGAAGATCTTATTTCACTTCTGAAAGCACAGCGTTGTTCTATTTGTCTGAGGTATTAGTAGGTAGCAGGAAAAGATTGACTCCAGGCATTGCAATATAAAACCCACCCATCCATCCTGAAATTGGAGATTGTCCTGTATGCTGTATAAGTTCTCCCACTCGCAATTTATAATGAGGAGATATATTTTTGAAGCAATTAACTGTTCCTTTTAAGTCAACAAAATCGTTCTTTATTATTGGAGTAAGGACTTTAGCACTCTCTAGGAAATCGTTTATAATTTGCTTTATTTTTCTTTTGTTTCATAAAAGGATTTTAGACACTGTTCTTGTGGCCAGTTAGACTTGTACCCATGCATCCTCTTGAGCCGTGAATTTGCTAGTCTCAATCTCCAGGGCTCAAGTGATCCTTGAGCCTTGGCCTCCCAAAGTGCTGAGATTACAGGCATGAATCACTGTGCCTGGCTGATAACATATTTGAAACTATAATGAAGAGATACTGAGATATTTCCTATTTTAAAATACTTTGTTCTGCTTTCTAGTATATAGCATGACACTCAGCCTCAAAGGGTATGGAAGGCTTACTTTATTGTAAAGGCTTGCAAAGCACATTGCTTAAATTTTAGGGACAGGTTCATACCTGCCAAACAGGTTTATAAAACACTGATGAATAAACACAAGTTTGTCAGAAATCTTACTAAAGAACAGTGCATCTTATTCAGTGTAGACAGTCTTTTAAAGTATTTTGGTGGAGTTTTTCTTAGAGCTTAATTACTAGAGTAAGAATTAAAATAATAAAACTGGTTGCAAGTCTCTTGAGAGTAAGAGATGTCATCTTTCTTTCAGGCCTATCACAGTGTCTAGTCTAAAGCAACAATAAGGCTCCAGTCATATTTGTTGAATTAAATTTTCAATTTAGTTTCTGAATTCCTTTAGTCTTAATAGATTTCTCAATTGATAGGTCGCCGTCTCACTTGACTTCTACTTGATGGCCATGTTCTCTTCTTGTCTGCCTCCCTTTTCATTCCTATTTCTGACCTGTCCAGTCACTTTTGACTTAAAGAATAGCAACTCTTTAAGCTGTTGTATTTGACTTTTTAAAAATTATATAGACAGGATGTATTAAGAACATACAAAGAATTACATAAAGTCAGAGAGCTAGGTTACTCAGTACTAAACACCGTGTTAGGATTTTGTTTTTCTGTTGTTGTTTTTTTTTTGAGACAGAGTCTCGTTCCGTCGCCCAGGCTGGAGTGCAATGGTGCTATCTCAGCTCACTGTAGCCTCTGCCTCCTGGGTACAAATGATCCTCCTGCCTCAGCCTCCCAGGTGTCTGGGATTACAGGCACCTGCCACCACACATGGCTAATTTTTGTATTTTTAGTAGAGACAACATTTCACCATATTGCCCAGACTGGTTTCAAACTCCTGACCTCAAGTGATCTACCCACCTTGGCCTCTCAAAGTGCTGGGATTATAGGCGTGAGCCACTGCACCTGGCACACTGTGTTAGGATTTGCAATAAAAAGGAACTAAGACCCGGTACTTGCCCTTGAGAGCTCACAGTCTACAGGTAAAATAGATCTATAAAGAGGACTGAAAAGTACAGGTCGTGGCAAGAAAGTGGCAGGGTAGGGACTAGGGGGCAGCTAAAGGAGGGTCATGATCCTTTTCCTGAGGCATCAATATTGTCCCACAGTAACTCTAGAGCAGGATCTTTAAGGATGAGTTTCCCAGGCAGTCAGGGAATGCGGAGGGAAATCGCTATGGTTTTGTGTGTTGGCTGCAGTGAGGAGCAAGAGGGTCCCCTTGGGGAACTTGGTAAGTATAGATTTTAAGATTTGGGAGAAGAGAAGGGCAAGGTGTGGCAGATGTTACTAGATGTGGTAGACATGCCAAGTTTGGGAAGGAGGCGTATGGGTTGGATCTAGACAGAAGTGGATGGAAGTTGGGGAACGGGTGTGATGATAGGACTCCAAATCTTGGTGAAGTCAAAGAGCAGGCAAAGGTGGAGGAGTGTGTTCAAGTGAGTTGTGGGTTAGGCAGGTGTTCTCTTTTGCCAGGGAGGCAGAAGAAGTGAGAGGTCTCAGGGTGTGACCTTGAGTGTATATTCCTAAAAGGCCCCTATTTTTTTTTTTTTTTTTATCTCCTCCCTCCTACTGTACTGCCTTTCCTGGGCCATATTCTCCACACTGTCTTTCACATGCATTATTAACCAGTCAAGATCTCATACCTCCATTCCACACTAATTAAAGTCAGTTAAAGTCCTCCACCTTAAATAATCTCATTTATAACTCAAAGAATCTCATATAGGAAACCTTTTACAACCAACCTCCCCATGCTGAATGGGTTATTTTTTTCATTAGAACTCAGTATTTACTCACTACAGAGTATTATCACTCACACCCTTTATAATCATATGTTTGCCTGACTTTATGTCTTAAATAAGTTGCTTGAGCCTAAAGAGTGAGGGTTTTTTTTTTTTTTTTTTTTTTTGCAAGCTAGAAAAGTATCTGGCACTCCTATTTGCTAAATATTTGTAGAAGGAAGGAAGAAGAGAGGAAGGAGAGGGATAGGGAATTGAAATTGAGGAAAGGAAGGAATTTGAAACTGAGGAGTCATATGCTTTGCCACATAAACTCTGAAGGTCACACAGGATGGTAGTGCCAGTAGAAGAAGGAGGACGTTGAGTGAACCTGTGGTTGAATAAGGAGGATGGTAGAGATGCTGGGGAGGTAAGAGTCAGGACAAGAAGGCTGAGGGCAGCCTTCCTCAAAGAAGTTGACATTTAGTGGAACGTTCAATGACAATTGCAAAGGAGTTTCAGAGGGCAGAATGGAATGGGTTGGGAGAGGACTTGGTTAAGATTTGCTGAAAACCCTGAACTTTTGGTAAATACTGCTCTGTGTGGGAAATGTTGCAACGAGAATTGACTCTTAATTAACTCTCATTCTTAGATATCCCTTGAACAAGTTGTCTGGAGAGTTCCTCAGTAGAATGTCTACTTGCAACAACAGTAATAATATTTATCAAGTGCTTGTGTTACCTCATAAACTCTCACACTAACCCTGTGAAGTATGTATTATTATCTTCCACATCTTTTGAATGAGGACAGCTAGACTTAGAGTGGTGAAGTAGTGTTCACAGTCCTCACATTGCTCCTAAGTGGGCCACTACTACAGTCAAGGCAACACATGCTAGAACCCGTCAGGTCTCTGGGGAGTATCAGAACTGCTGTCCGAGCTCCTGAAATGAAAATTAATTTCCTCAGTGACTTACTACCCACTGCCACTCGCTCAAGCCCTGCAAGTTCAACCCAAATCATCCTGCCACTGTGGAAATCTGATGGGTCACGCTGCTGCCTACTGAAAATTGGGATTTGGGTTAATGATAAAATAGGTTAAAACACATAAAATAGATAAACTAGGGTAAAATAGAGTAAGAATGGGTGAGAGGAGAGAAAAACAATACTTCAGTTTAGGAAGCATAATACTACTTAAAATTTCCTGAGAATAAATTTGTCTCCTAGACAACAGATATACTTTCTTTTCTTTTCTAAAAATTTTCTTTAATTTTAATTTTTTATTTTATTTATTTATTTTTTTTTTTGAGACAGAGTTTCGCTCTTTTGCCTAGGCTGGAGTGAAGTGGCGTGATCTTGGCTCAGTGCAACCTCTGCCCCCAGGTTAAAGTGATTCTCCTGCCTCAGCCTCCTGAGTAGCTGGGATTATAGGCGTCCACCACCACGCCAAGCTAATTTTTGTATTTTTAGTAGAGATGGGGTTTTGCCATGTTGGCCTGGCTGGTCTCAAACTCCTGACCTCAGGTGATCCACCTGCCTCAGCCTCCCAAAGCGCTGGGATTGCAGGTGTGAGCCACCGCGCCTGGCCCACATATGCTTGAAATGTGAGTCAAGATGGTATGCTGGAAGAGGAAGACATGGGGTAACAAGAGCATTTATTTTGTTTATTGAGGAAAAAATAAACTGGTGGGGATTATTAATGGAATCCTCATTATGGATTATCTTAAACTTTCCAAAAAGTTTAAAAATCTGTCTGTATGGGATGTCCTAATTCAAGAGTTTCTTGAGGTTGAATTCTCTTGCCTCTGTGAAAGAGTCCTTTCCTTGGTGCTGGCCGATGGGGACTCTTGGTGGCCTTCACAGGGTGATCTCTCCTCAGCAGAGGGGAGAGGATACGCTGACTCAGCCAGCTGAAGGCCCACCCAAAGTTCAGGCAGCACTGGGCCTGTGTGTAGGAAGGAGTGTCATCCTTCTCCGGCTGCTCTGACAGGATTGAGGGGATCTCTGGAGCACTTGTCCTTTGGCTGGCAGTTGCCTGGCTTATCATCTGCCACGAAAATGAAGGATGTGTTAGGTAGGTGTAACCATGACAGCAGCCAAGTCAACATTTACTCATTTGTGGAACTCACATCCTTTTACCAAAAATAGCCCAAGTGTCAATGCAAAGTTTCAATGCTCATTAATACTAAACGTATACGTTTTTGGTGGGGAGGGAGACATAGTTGCTAGCCCTTCTCCTTGCTTGCTACCCTTTCATTTCCCTAAGCGTTCCTCAGTCTTTTCCCTACAGCTTCACCCTGACTCCCTTCCTTGTTATCTGTCTCCCACTGGTATCATGTCAGACTCCCTGGGACCTGTCTCCTCCCAGTGGTGGTAAGATTCTGTGGTTCAACCCAGGCCTATCCCTTGCTGTCCTGTGAGGCATCTCTGCTCTCCTCAGCCAGCTCATGTTCCTTAAGCCTTAGAGGAGTCTGTGGAGACTGCATAACATCTTTATTTTCTGGTGGTTTGCACTTGGGCATGTCTTGACAAGCATCATGTTCTTAATGACTGACCTGAACCATTTCCGGAGGGGAGCCGCTGGACAGCTGGAAATCTTTCTGAGTCATTTCAGGAAATACAGCGTCATCATCTTCATCATCTTTCACATTTTCTAGAAATGTCTGAAACTCTTGCACAAGATTATTCAGTTTGCTGACAGACAGTTTTGTTCTCTCTTTTGGTAACTCATCTATCCACTGGTTGTCTCCATTTAGAAGCCTATTAGCTATTGAGTCTGTGTTGTTGGAGCTGACGTCCACGTCCCAGGCTAGGAAGATGCTTAGTTTGCAAAACTGCTCTGGTTCATCCTGAATTTGGTCTTGTCTCTTCATGCATCTCCTTATCCTTTCAGTCCCCCATGCCCCTTGGATGGGAGGGAGAAAGTGGATGGAAGGATCCTTGGAAGTTGCGTCTTCACAGGAGGTTGTGTCCTCACAGGGGGTGTCCTCACAGGGGAAATAGCCCACAGAGAGGCTCAGGTTGGAATTGGATTTGGAGCTGTAGTCCTCTATGTCGCTGTTAGAGGATGAATATGCCATGGAGTTCAAAGGCACAAATCTCTCTCAACTCGAGAAGCTTCAAAAAAAAAAAAAAAAAAAAGAAAAGAAAAAAGAAAAAAATAGATGGGACTGGGGAGAAGAGAATCATAGTACTTAAACAAAAACCTTATCCATTCCCTTTTCTCTTTTCTTTTTTCTTTTTCTTCTAAGATGGAATCTCACTCTGCCTCCCAGGCTGGAATGCAGTGGTGCGATCTTGGCTCACTGCAACCTCAGCCTCCCGAGCAGCTGGGACTACAAGCACCCGCCACCACACCTGGCTAATTTTTGTATTTTTAGTAGAGATGGGGTTTCACCGTGTTGACCAGGCTGGTCTCAAACTCCTGACCTCAGGTGATCCACTCACCTTGGCCTCCCAAAGTGCTGAGATTGTAGGTATGAGCCACCACACCCGGCCCTATTCCCTTTTCTATTCAGTACTACCCCATTTAAATAGAAGTATTATCCAATCTTCTTTTTTTTTTTTTCTTTTTTTGAGACAGAGCCTTGCTCTGTTGTCCAGGCTGGAGTGCAGTGGTGTGGTGTCAGCTCACTGCAACCTCCGTCTCCTGGGTTCAGGAGACTCTCTTGCTTCAGCCTCCCAGGTAGCTAGGACTACAGGCGTGTGCCGCCATGCCCGGCTAATTTTTTGTATTTTTAGTAGAGAAGGAGTTTCACTGTGTTAGCCAGGATGGTCTCGATCTGACCTTGTGATCCACCCGCCTCGGCCTCCCAAAGTGCTGGGATTACTGGCATGAACCACTGGGCCCGGCCAGTATTATCCAATTTTTATAATCTCTCAGTGAAGGGCAGAAGAGGCAGCCTTCTGCCTTTCAAAACTTATTTCATTGTGTTATAATCCTCTCTACTAAGCATCGCCACTTCTCAACATTTGTCCTGCTATGGTTGTAAGATCTTGTGTCATAAAAGAAAAGGATGATCATTGTATAAAATTGGAAAAATATAGAAAAGTATGAAGATGAAAGTAAATATGCTATAGTCCTACCTTCTAAAGATAACGATAACTATCAAAACATTTTGATGGACTTCCTTATCTTTTCTGTTTATATAAACACACATATACTTATCTGTACATTTATACAGTATGTCCACATATACATATATGTAAGTGTGGATATGACATCAGTTGAAACTGAAATTATTTTATCCCATAGCCTACAACAAACATATATATGGTTACTCTGCAATTTTTAACCACTTCTTATTAATGACAATTAGGTGGTAGTTACTGCCTTTACTAAATAAATCTCTGGTAAACCCACTTTTCCATAAATCTTCCATAAATCTAAGAGTATGTCTCTTATTTTTCTACATGTAGGATTAATGGACCAAACCCCACAAATATATTAAAGTCTTGTGGTAGTTGATACCAAATTACTTTCCAGAAAGGTTTTGGTATTTAGATGCCCATCCTCCCACCATCTGATGGCACTGTTTAGTCCAGCTTTTTCTGTGAAGCCCCAAAGTAGGGCTGGAAGAATGCACGTGCGCATGTGCGCGTTCTCTCTCTCTCTCTCTCTCTCACACACACACACACACACACATACTGTCACACCCTGCCCTGGTGGCTGCTCACATGGAAGAAGTGCTGCTAACTCCTGAGGGAAAAGGGGAGACATGAGAAATCCTCCACATCCCGAGTTTCTATGGCTAAAAGTCCAGCTGTCAGAAGTCTGTGTTCTGAGACTGTTGGTTACCATGGCAACAGAAAGAACCAAGTTAGAGCCAGGAATGTGGAAAGGGAAAAGGAAAAAAGGGGATAGAAAGCCACAGAATCTATCCCTTTGTTTCCAAAATAATCTATGTCTATACCATCCTGGGCTGAAGAGGATCCCTCTTGAGGGTGGAAGGACAAATGCATGGAGGTTACTTCTCTCTTGTCAGGTGGCAGGTGGTTCCTGTCCTTAGGAGATTTAGAGCTCTAAATAAGGGCCATGGGTATAAACACACACACACACACACACACACACACACACACAGAGACATGCTTACAAATGGAAAGCAGAAAACCAAGAAATGCTTATCTGACCTACCTATTGGATTCATCAATTTTCTTAAGATCTTTTCCCAATATTTGTCTATCTCCATTTCCATCTTACAAGATTACAGTTAAAGTTTGCCATGATTCACTCTCAGGTTTTTCACTGTAGAACTGGCTTAAATTTGTATATTCTGTTAAATAAGATGTTTAAGGAATTCTGATGACATGATAGAAGAAATAGGCAGACTTAGAGTTAGAAAGAAGCAGCTTCTACTACCCAACAGATGCAGCCTGACAGGTGCCCACAGACTGCCCACAACTCCCCTGGGTGATTGTGGACCTGGATTAATCCTGGAAGGTGTTTAAGTCAGAAGCCACATGTTCCCTCACATTTATTTATTTAATTATTTGAGATGGTGTCTTGCTTTTCACCCAGGCTGGAGTGTAGTGGCACGGTCTTAGCTCACTGCAACCTCCGTCTCCCGGATTCAAGCAATTATCCTGCCTCAGCCTCTTGAGTAGCTGGGATTACAGGCATGGGCCACGACACCTGGCTAACGTTTTGTATTTTTAGTAGAGATGAGGTTTCTCCATGTTGGTCAAGCTGGTCTGAAACTCCTGACCTCAAGTGATCCGCACTCCTCGGCCTCCCAAAGTACTGGTATTACAGACGTGAGCCACCCACCATGCCCGGCCCCCTAGCATTTATTTTATTTCATTTTTTTATTTTTAGAGATGGGATCTTACTCTGTTGCCCAGGCTGGAGTGCAGTGATGCCGTCATAGCTCACTGCAGCCTCAAATTCCTTGGCCTCAAGCAAACTTCCTCAGCCTCCCAGGTAGCTAAGACTATAGGTATATACCACCATGCCTGGCTAGTTTTCCCTAGCACTTATTTCACTTATTATATGCCAGGTCTTGTACTAAGCACTTTACATATGTCATTTTTTAATCCTCACAGCAACTCAATCAGTTAAGTATCATCATTTGCCCCATTCAATAGAAGGAGGAACCAAGGCATGAACGGTTGTATAACTCTCTCACATTCCCCGATCATAAACCCAGAACCTGGATTCAAACATAGGTAGTCTGGCTCAGAGCCCATATCCTGACCTCTACACACTCTTGTCTCAGGAGGCTGACCACCCATCTCCTCACTGGAAGATTCCTGGGGGAGCTGATCCAGGCCAAAATAAACCCATGTTCTGGTTCCTTGGAAGAAAATCCTTTGAGGGGAACAGCTTGTTCTAAGAGACTTGCAAAAGGTACACATGGTATACGGGACTGGCCTAACAATGGTGTCCACATTTGGGGCAGGCTAAAATGAAATTTAAAATAAGTATTCAGCTTCCTCTTTGGCATAATGGGATCTGGAGTCCTTGCTCTGGCTTTTCATGAAAACTCAGTGACTGCCTTCCAGAACTCTGGGGGCCTAGAAAAGAATTCATAAGTAGTTTCCTCTTCATGCAGCTAGAATGGAGGTGGTAGGGGTGGAAACTATGTTTTGTCATTACTCATAGAAATGGAGCTCTTTGAACTGAATATAAACATTTAAAGAAGAAATGATTTCCCAGCCTAAACCAGCAAAGTTTAGAGTGATCCTGAGGACAGAAGAGCTTCAAAGGGAGGCACCCTCAGAGAAAACTTGAAATTTTACTTATTTATACCATTTCTCTACAGTATATTTGTAGAGCTATTGTATTAGTCTGTTCTCACACTGCTAATAAAGTTATACCCAAGACTGAGTTATTTATAAGGAAAAAGAGATTTAATGGACTCGCAGTTCCATGTGGCTGGGGAGGCCTCACAATCATGGCAGAAGGCAAAGGAGGAACAAAGTCATGTCTTACATGGCGGCAGTCGAGAGAGAGCATGTACAGGGGAACTCCCTTTTATAAAACTATCAGATCTCGTGAGACTTATTCACTATCACAAGAACAGCACAGGAAAGACCCACCACCATGTTTCAAATACCTCCCACCAGGTCTCTCCCACAACACTTGGGAATTATGGGAGCTACAATTTGAGATTTGGGTGGGGACACAGCAAAACCATATCAGATATATTCTCTACAATCTGTGTGTGTGTACACACAACTTTTAGTATATACAACTCAGGTCATGAAAGTGCCTGAAACACACTCTTTTTTTGCCATAGAAAAATATATAATCATTTAGGTTTTTCTTTCTAAAGCATCATAGAAATAGCAATGACAGACATCATTGTTAGGATGGTATGCTGAGGAATGTAGTCAATTCTAAATGATAACTTCACTTTCGCTTCCAAAATAAGATCAGGGGATTTGGGGGTCCTCATTAACAATACACCTCATGTTAATTTATTTCTTAGGGCCTTAATTTGACTTGTAGGTCTAGCTTCTCTTGGATTACAATTATTACATTATCTAAGTAGTATAGACTGCCTTTTCTCTTGAAGCAAGATCAACTTAATAAAGATTCTCGAAGTTTTAGAAATGGTATTATGGAGTGACTTTATAATGTTTTAGGCCTGAAGCCAATAATAATTAAGAATTGGAACATTTCCTGAGATCCATTTGACTTGATGGGATTTGGAACCTAAATATACGGAGTAGGAAGTTTCTAATTTAGAAGTTAAGCTGTTATGATGCATAATTTTATGTGTCATCCTGGCTCGGCCATGTGGTGCTTAAGTATTTGTTCAACATTATTCTGGGGGTGTCCATGAGGGTATTTCTGTATGGACTAGTATTTGAATCAGTAGACCCAGTAAAGCAGATTGCCCTCCCCAATGTGGGTGGACATCATCCTATCCACTGAGGCCTGAGTGAAACAAAACACTGAGTAAAGGAGATTTTGCACAGTCCTTCTCTGCTCCTGGAATCAGACTGGCACTTACACTATCAGCCCTCCTGCTTCTCAAGCCTTCAGACTCAGATTGGAATTATACCATTGGGTTTTCTGGGTCTCCAGCTTGCAGTTGGCAGATCTTGGGACTTCTCAGCCTACATAATTGCATGAGCCAATTCCTTAAAATCTCCCTCCTTTCTATTTCTATTT